AAACACATCAGTGCTTATAGCACCAAGCAGCTCCAAGATTTGCTTATACTGCTTCGAAACTCGATTTTTGTTGCTCCTGAGCTGCTCCAAAGCTGAACTTTTACTGCTCAAAAGCTGCTCCAAAGGGGCATCTTTGCTGCTCCCAGACCTGCTCTAAAAGGCTGAAGCTTATTTCCATCCCTGAATTCCGGAAAGGGCCTATTGAGCGCGAATAAAATATATGTCACGGACGACACGGCAATCGTCAAAACCCCGCCGTCCTTCCTCGTTCCTTTGGGATTTTATTTGGTCGAAACTAAATATGTCTGACCTTTCAAGTAGACATCGTTTTTCGTTCGGTGTGTGCCACAGCGTTAAGTAATATTAAGGAAGACATACGAATGTACCCCACTGTCTCAATTCAATTGTCTCCAAAGACAGCTTATTTCTTCTTTTTTTTTTTTTGAGGGGGGGGGAGGGGGGGAGAGGGGTGGGCTAGTAGTTTCGCCAATTTTGTGAGCAGCCTAATCCAAAGGCATCATCTGAATTCGATGGCCTTCTGATTCCGAAATGCTACCTCGTTCCCCCAGATTCACTCTAGTTAATCGAAAAAGTTATATTTTGTTCGCCATCGAAATCGAAACTCCGCTCCCCCTAGTTTTTCTTCAGCTCTCCCAGCCATCCAAACGTGATGTTACCGGCGGGAAGCGAGGCCCGCGGCCGGCAATCACGTAAGCTCGCGCCCTCCTTTCTGGCGTCTAGCGGCGAGCAAACAAGGGCTTTCGTACTACCTGAAGTTGATAAAAAAATCGATACTTTCGCAAGGTAAGACCTTGACCTGCGCGCTAAACTATGCGAAGAAAAAAAGGGAAAGAAAGTGGGATTTTGAGAAAACTGTTTTTGCAACTCGGTACGCTGCAAGCTACCACTCTCTAGTTTCGTAAAATCGCTGGAGTAAATTCGTTCTACTTCTATCACAAGCAAGCAGTTACGCTGGCAAAGAAAGCAAAGAAAGTTACGCTGGCAAAGTCAAGCTAGACATTTTTTGACAAATTACCGAAGCACCACAGAGAATGCTTTTAATTCGGGTAGAGGTGCCGCACACGCTTGTTTTACTTGAAGGAACGTGCCTTTAGTTCTCGATTTTCTTTAGAAAGGTTACCATTACAGACGCCAGCCAGCACGTGTAACTACTCTCGTAGCATGCATATGCTCCTCGGTGCTTGGGTAATTTAGTAAAAAGTCTATAAACCATTCCAGAAAAGCGCTTCTGGTCGCTGCCATTTTCAGCGTTCGTGCGTTTAGCGCATACTTTGCTCGCCTTCCGAAGCGACGAGCAGGCGCGTACTGGGCCGTGACTTAACAAATGCGGACTGTAATTCTCGTAAACATTGGAATGGCGTATAGGATGAAATGGAATCGCATTCTTGTTGGGCTGGCGGCAGGTTTGTGAAGGTTGGGCTAAAATAAAAATGAAAAGAACTCCGCATCTACCAAGCCAAACATAAATTCGCGCTATGACAGGCGTATACAAACACAAATACACTATCCATCTTCAAATAAAGGATAGTTGATTGAAGATACGGTAGTGCGTAAAATAAAGAATTGTATCATAAAATGTAAAATTCAAAATAAGGCAAAAAAAAATTACCCCCAATAAAAAAAAAGGAGAGAAATAGCACTTTTTTTTTTTTTAAAACATTGCCGGGGTAGAATGCAACGCATTCAATGGGCCCTTTGACACAAATCACTACGGCATCAACATTTTTTTTTTTTTTTTTGTGCGATGCGTAGTTTTCGCAGGAGTGATTTGGCCCGCGTTTCCGGAAACACCCACGATTCTAGTTCTGTAATTTCTCCGCGAGTTAGAGCGTACGCATTGGCATTTTATTAAAACGCGCTAGCCCGAGCCCTCTCCCGGCCTGGAAGCGGGTTTTTTCCCTTAAGCACGCGGCTGCGCTGCAGCGAAGCAAAGTACACGGGATCGCTGTGTACACCCTGCGGGTGTCACTTCTCCGCAATGCACCGGCGCCCGGTGGGAAGCGGATTCAACGGAGCTGACTAATTCGTCCAAAGAGACCGCGAGCAGTGAGGAACATTGCGGAACTACCTGCACTCCTCTTCGAGTAACTTTCGAGAAGAACGATGGCTGAGGCCTCTGGAGGCAATCAGAAAGCAGGAGTGGTCTCCGACGATTCGTTATCACGTGCCTCGCTTCGACGCTCTGATTGGCTAGCTGGGGTCGTAGCTGTCGCCGTTTGCGGTGGTATCGTCAAACGGAGTTTAGTTTTGTGTCAGTGTTGGATATGAAAATCAAATCGAATAGTACGTTATTTGAATATGTAATTGTAAAATAAATTTTGAAAATTCTCGCATGCCTGATGTAGCCTATAACATGCAGCTTGCTCTTTAATAAATGCGTTTTGTTTGAGGATGTTGGCATTGTCTGTGCGGTGTCGGCTACTCCGTTGCAGTTAATTAAACATATACCCATACATAGCTATTGGTTTTTGTTTTAAGAGAAAGTAGCTCTTGGCACAGCGTTTAGGGCAAATTCTTCCCGTTTTGTTGAAGTGTATCAGAATGTAACAGGGTAAGCGCTTTGGCACTTGTGCTGTACCAATGATATTACTGACGTTGTGCGATGGAATGGAGTGTTTATTATGGTGTAAATTTTGAATATTCCCGACTTCGTTAAACTGAGGACTCTTTTAATATTTCCTAGTTGTATGGCTAGGACATCAGCTGCACAATAATTGTTTTAACGGAGTTCCCTGTTCGTTATGTATCTCTCTCCCTCTGTCTCGCTTTCTCCCAGTCTATATATATATATATATATATATATACACACACACACATTTGTGGTGGTAAAAGTACACAGCCGAAATACCAGTGTCCTTATTAAGGTGCATTTTGATACACGAATAAAATTTTAGTGCAATTAATTTTTGCTGTGTCTCAATTGTTTGGTGTAACTTTTTCACTCTGCCTCTTTACGTCAGAGTGCGGGGAAAAATGAAATATATCTTTGTAGAGACCAGGCACGTAGCCAGGATTTTGTTTCGGGGAGGGAGGGGGGGGGGGGGGCTGGACAAAATGGTGTATGAGGGAAGGGGGGAGAGGACTAACGTGGAAGTTTGGGCTAGTTGGTATTTCATAATTAAAAATGAAAAATGAAAAAAAAAATTTTAATTTGCCTTGTTCGCGTACCTTCTTGTTCTTGTCCGTGTCCTTGCGCTGTTTTAATTTTTAATCATGGGGGAGAGGAGGTCCCAACACAATGGAACCCCCCCCTCCCTTTGGCTACATGCCTGGTAAAGACCAAGAGGTCATTCGAGTACGACGGGAACTTGTTTACATCAACACGTTCTTGGTGCTTCGGGGATGATAAGAATGAAATTTCGAGGATTCTATTACTTTGCCTTATCAGTAAGCGGCGTAGATGGTCTGCTTCGAACTTGGATAATATGTGAGGTTCTGCGTCATCACCGCGCATACGTGACAAAGAAACGGGTGTGATAGCCACCCTAAACACTCGATATCAAACGGTGGTTACCGCGAATAAAGAAGGCCAGATTTTTAAACGCCTCAAATGTATACTGTAAAGGACTTCATTTTCGCGAGTGCCAATTTTTCGCGAATTTCGCGAACCGCCTACAATTCGGGAAAAATAGGTCCCGCGAACAATTCCGGTAGAATGTAAACACATTAGAATCTATATTAAGATCCCGCCACGTCGCGCAAATTAGAACCCGCGAATTATTTCAAAACTTCAGCTTTGACCAAAATCGCGAAACATTGAGCACGCGAAAAATAAGTCGTTTACAGTATGTATATATATATATATATATTTTTTTTTTGTACCTACGCTTTCGTAGATTGAATTTTGGTAAACATCTTGGTACGCACAAATAGGTTGTCAGTGTCCCGTTACTTGCTAGCAGCGTCGCCCTGCCAGTTCTCTTTCCCATTAAGGCTAAAACCAAAGTGCGGAAGAAGACGCCGAGTTGTTTACATGGGGCGCGCACCTTGCCTTTTCTTTTTTCCCGCGCTCCGGAGGAAGCGGAGAGGAGGAGAGGCCGGAAGGGAGCTCAATTTCTCGCGCTCTCCGATTGGTGGAGCGCTCGGCGGCGCGCAGGTGAAAGCGAGCGCGCCGCGATTTTCCATGGCGATTCCGTCGGCTCTTTTTGTTCTTTGCGCTCGGCTCGTGGAGGAGAGCGGCACTCGCGTGGCTGCCGTCGCTCGACGTGGACGCGCCGCCCCGACTCGTCTGTCCCCTTCGTCGCTCGTGGTGCCCCATTATTGCCCGCGGAATCGTCGTCGCCCCCTGACAGTGTCTCCTCTCGAGTCGGTGCCCATGTCAACGGCTCCAAGTCGTCGCTCGTCAAATTTCCCGTGTTGACAGCTTCGTCGATTTGTTTCTCGTGGCTCGATCTAATCGTGCCGGTGCTAAATTCACGTTACGCGTGTGTTGTTGTGTTGTCATTTTTTTTTCCGTGCGTGTGAGTGGGTGTTTGTGCGCTGCCACCCGGCAAGCAATAAGATAGAGAGGGAAGAGGAAAGTGCAAATACGGAAGTACCTGACATCGAACTTCTCCGTCCGCTCGACGTCGTTTTTTTACTTATTATTTTTTTTTGTCGCTTCGTCTACGTCGCGACGGAATTCACGCGGAGGATTATCCTCGTTACCTTCTTTTCTTTTACTTTTTGGATGGTGACAGTTGTGTAGCGCGCGTGAATTGTGTCTGTGCACGGATCTGTGTTTTGGGAGCCCGCGCTTACCGCCGGCCACGGCCGTCGTTGTTTACGAGGAAGCGATCGGCCAGTCTTTATTTCGAACCCCAAGCGTCTCTAAGGCCCTAAACGGAGTGACATCCGAACGGCGGGCAGATGTCTCTCAGTACGGTGGTGGACAGTGGTCGCAAGATGAGTGGCGGCGGGGACTGCGATGTGTACGGTGACAATCGCGAAAAGAGCAAGTCCGAGCAACTGGCCTTTTTGCTCACCTTCCTCCACGGCAGGGGCCGCCTGTACGAGCTCTTCGGGCAGATCGAGAAGGAGTTCGAGTCGCTGTACGCCGAGAACCTCGCACGTGAGTTCCCTTCGCTTCTTGCGCATGCTACCACGCTCGGTGGTCTCGGGTAAGGTTCCGCACAGCCCCGTTTTCTTACGTTACGAAAACTTACGTCTGCTCACACGACGAGTGACCGGTACGCGTGTGTACTTCGTATTAAACGTGGTACAAGTTCAAGGAGATAGCCTGGCACTCGACGTTCGAGACACGAATGTTTCGGTGACTTGCACGTAACGTACGAAAAAGCGCGAGAGAACGGTGTTGTGTGGAAGAGCCTTTAGAGTCATTCACTGAGAAAGGAAAAACGCCAGGGCGTGTCGCTCGAATGCCCGTCCACCAGCACGCGCTGTATGCCTTGCGCCGTGCCTTGGCTGCCTGTGCTCACGCTCGGGGTTCACGAGACATTGATGCGTTATGAAAGGTATAGAAGCTCGCGCTGTTCTAGTTGGAGCGTATACGCTGCGGACTGCGGGTCCAGGGGGCGCGTGCTCAATGCATGCCTCAAAGGGACGGCACGAGCTTCCGCTAGCAAGACGAAGCTTTAGCGAATACCGTCTTCTAAAAGCCTTTACTATAGGAGGTATTCACTGGACGCCCTATTTCAGGGCGATGTTTAGAGCGCATGCTCAGAACGAGCCCGCATTAATAGCCTGCTAAGACCGGCAACCTTGATGGTGCTAAATGCATGCTCCAAAAGGACTGCGGAAGCTCGCCGTCAGCACGCGCTCAGCAGCAGCACACACGGATATGGCCGCCATTGAATACTCCCTGTTGGTGGCTCCAGCGATATCGAAGGCACCTATGCTTCCTTTCAGCTGAGGTCCAGACGTAGCCGATGTTAGAAGCGCGAGCATGTGGCCCTGAACAGTGCTTGTGCTGCACGAGCGCGCGTATATAGGGGCGCTGAAAGCTCGGAGCTCGTTCTTGCAGCTTCTGCTACGCTCACACTTGAAGTGAAACGGAGTGCAGTTGCTAGAAGGGAAAGCTGTGGCGGCAGGCTCGCTCCGCAATGCTCTCGAGCGAATCGGATATTCACAGCGCCTGGCGGTCAGAACACGAAACCATATTAAGAAAAAGCTAAGAATCAGGAGCACTTTTATTTTTAACATTTGCTCTAAAACAATGACATTTTAGTTACTTTCAAAGTTTTGTCTTCTCTTTTTAAAACAGTTAATAGTTTTAATGTAGCATGCTTAGTTTTGTGTTCAGAGGCCAAACACAACTAAAAAAATTGTTTTTTTTTTGTGCGGACATTTAGGTAAATTTGTTTTTATAGCAATGATGGGACAATAGTTCATTATGATGACGTGTAGAGTGCCAGTATCTAGCCTAAAGCTGGGTACGAATTTGGCTTTACAAAGTAAAATAAAGACGTCATGGAGCCTTCTTTTTAAAAGTCCTTTACATGTTAAAAAATAAGAAAAAAATAATATATTGCAATTCCAAATATATACTCAAAATAATACATAAATGATTTCATTTATGCCAAGTGCCGGAAACTGATTGCATGAACTGTGAAGACAGTTCAAAGTTGGAAAACGAGAAAAATGTATATTCTACAAATATCGTGTGCATTTACATGATATATGGCAAGAACATAGTTCAGAAAAAATTCAGAGTCAATTAACTCGTCTTACACTGTGCTCAGTATGCTGTGAGTTTTCTGGCCCCTCTTGCACCATGTGCCACGCCGGCATTTCGGTCTGAACAAGGTTTTGGTTAGCATTTTTCGTGGCAGCAGCATGCACTTTCTTGCTAATGAACGTCTTGTGGTACATTGGTGCTAGAGAATCGCGCAGAAGTTGACTGCAAAATTCGTGCGAACTCCCGCGCTCATATATCTTCACTTTGCGCATATACGCCTTCTTCTTGATGCGGCACGTTTCGTCGAAAATGTCGAAAGAAAGACCCCACTCCGGGCACTATACTTGCTCATCTCAGTGCAGTTTGAGGGACGATGAAAATACCTTTCGTTTCCATATGCCGACTCCCGAACGCGTAGAATATGCACTCGTGACAAGCGGGGCACATCGCATCGCTCACAATGTCGCACACCACTGAACTCGAAGATCCATAGTCACGTGCTCTGTATTTGTTTTTGAAGGACGCGATTATCATCTCCATAGCAGACCGTCGATCGGGTTGGAACAGTCGCCGTTACCGCTGTTGAGGCTTAGCTGGTCTCGGTAAACTTTCCTCCGTTGACGTTCTCCGCTTACGTTTGCGCCGCCTTTCTTGAAACTTGCTCTTGTTTCGGTAATTTAAAACGCGAAAATCGTGCTTTTTAGTGTTGTCTATCTAACGTTGAATCGGAGGTACGTAGAAAGTGCTGCTGTTCAGCTAAAGCGACAGCCTTTCAAAGATGGCGGATCTTCGCGTAAACTTGCTATTTTCGAGCACCACGAGTCAGTAAGACACGTTTTTTCCTAACATCTTGCTCGAATATTCTTTTGATTTCTTTTTAAATCGCAAGAGTAGGATGTAAATAATAATAATAATAATAAAACAAGTAAAAAAAATATTCACAATTTCAAAATAAATTTGATTTTTCGACCCGCATCTACCCTTAAAGTTTACGATTCGAAAACACGCAATGAAAATCGCCATATACTCGCGGACAATCTTCTGTAGATTTGATGGGCGCACGCACGTGCGCCCATCAAAGCCGTACACACCCACTCTCCATTTCTGTAATGCCACAGCAATATGTCTACGAGGAAGCTGGGTTTCGGAGTAGCGACCCTTAATCCATCTGTGTTTAGAATCATCGTTATCAGTTTCCTGAAGCTTTGATATGAAATCGCAAGAAGCGGTTTTCCGTTCTCCGGAAATGATAAAATAGTCCTCGAAAGAGCAAAACGATATCGCATGAGCTTCCCGCCCCCTTATCTAATGAAGCTCAGTTTCAGGTTTACTGATTTCTCTTCGTACAAGAAGAGAGGAAATAGGGGGAAAAAGCAGTACAAAAGTGCTTGACAAAGCCCGCTCCTCCCCCAAGAGAAGCAGACGCAATCATCAACTCAAAGACCAAACCTATTATACAGAAATATTGCGAAAAACAATGACACAAGTAGATAGCTGAAGTTAGCATGAGCTGGCGATTGCAGAGCGTATGCTATATTTACTGGAAAGATCTTCGGGTCTAATTTCCAGTGATGGTGTTTCGGAAATGGAAACTGACTTTCTTGTTGTTTATCCGATACACTTTTTAGGGAGAAACAAAAATAGTTTCAAGCCGGCACGAGCGTTACGTGTCGTGAAATATTCGCCGAAGACAACTGAGCTTGCTACACGGGGGAATGTTACTTTCGTGCGGGCGGTTAGTCACTTACGTGAGTTTAACAACGAGAGGAGGTTTAAGGCTATCTTGATACTTAACTTGTCTGTTTTACGAGCTTGTGCGTTGGTGTGCATGTAAAATGAGGATATTCGAACACATAAAGATAAGCTGGAATGATTATGTATCGTCCTCGTGTTTAGTTACTGTTAGCAACACGCTCGTTTTGTACTTAACTGGAATGCACCAGCGTTCTGTACCTATACTTCGAACTCATCTCCCTTTTCGTGATTGTTTGTTTGCTTTGGTTATTCGTGCACGAACGGCTATTGTTAGTCTGTGTTCGTGTTGTGTGGCGTATTTTAATCGCTTTGATATCTGTGTGGCTAAAAAACTAACCTCACTGTTACCTATAAAAAAAAAAAAAAGGTTCGGCGCATATTGCATACACGGTGCACGTGGTAGTAGCTCTTACAAAAATTGATCGTCAGAAAAAAAAAAAGAAAGAAAGTCTTGCATTTGACACGTGTATGATTCGATTGAAGAAGAAATAACTATTACTGCCGGTTCTTAATGTGAAAAAGAGCATAACTCGGTGCTTGTCTAGATTCCTGCTCGGGGCAACTCGGTGCAACTGGAGCGCATGGTGCGAAAGCTCTCGCTGCAAAACCCAGGGATCCTGCGGTGGGTTCAGTCCCCATCCCCACCCGTTTCAATCTCGATGAGCATCGTACCGGCGTGCGATCGTGTATCACTACTGCGTGGTGCGCGTTAAAAGTGAGTTTTAGTAAACCGTGTTTCCCGCTCCGCTAAGCCCCTCCGCTACCCGGAACTCTACAGCCAAGGCCATCGGCGCGCAGGCGCAGTGGCGATTCCGCGCTCCGCTCTGCAGAGCGGCTGCACGAAAACGATCTACTAAAACTCCCTACTGACTCCGGGCTAGCAGTCGTACCACGCTGGCTAGATTTTTCATCTACAGCTCAGATACGCCCATAGAGGCTGACTAACTTCTGGCTGTATCAACATGCAAGCAACGCAGTTATTATTTGAGAGATCGGGGTTCTCATTAAGCGCCGAGCTAGTACATTTTGCGAATTCGCTGGAGTGAGCCGCATGCCCGTTTTCGACTGCCTTTTGATCTGTTTCAGAGCCGACGAAGCTCTCTCGGTGCGCGGTCTTGGTGCGCGATCGTTAGCCTGAATTCTCATATCTCTATATTTTTTTTTCTTGCGCACGACGATTGTACGGCTAAAAGGGATTTCCCAGTTTTTCAGATTTCAAGAATGCAGAGATTTCATTTGAGCGAACCCGGAGTCTTTCCGACCATAGGACATAATTTTACGTGTTTCTGCTGTTACAGGCTTTCCTCGAAAGTATATACTTGCTCGTGAATGTAGTCGTCGAATCCGGAAATCGAGGATGTCACGTGGTTGACGAGTAAGCTAATCTTTATAAAACCTAGGTTTTTTTTTGTTTTTTGTTTTTTTCTCGCGAGATTACATTTTACAGCGGTGCTTGTTTCTATTTCTATCGGCAGATGTTATTGGCCGGACAGATGTTGTACCTTCGGATGACGGATGCTGGGATCGGATGGGTCGTTGATCGGTCTAAGTGCACTTCTCTGGTGGTCTCGTATACTCGCAAAGCTTGGCTCTTCAATAAACAACAAATTCATGTGTTTTTTTTTTTTTTTTTTTTTTTTGGGGGGGGGGGGGTAAAAGAAATACTGAGCTTATTTTTG